CGTAGTCACTGATGTGTAAGTACCAAGTCACTCAACACCGATCTGCAAGTTGTGACAATTTTGGGGTAAACATATTTAATTGTATTGACTTTTGTGTTCCGCGGTGACATATCTATTGGAAACTGGCAACACTGGAAGCTTTCAGAAAAAACGATGCAACACTGGGAGCTCCTGACGGAAATTATGAAGCAATTCATTGCATTATTCAACTAACGATGGAAATAAACAGCTCAGCAACTATGGCTATATAGGGCTTACTGGTGCTAAATCAGCCCGTCCTCTCGAGTTGTCACAACGTCACAAATACGATGTACTAAATTGCCCGAACCTAACCTAATCGATGGAACCACGTTTAGAAAACGTGACTGCGAGCCAGTATGATTTATAGTACATTATGTTTTGTCCACTCGGGATTTCGACGTCAAAATGCGATATATTAGTAAAGAGGAACTAGGCTGTTTAAATGTGTAACAGTAATAGACAAGCGTCCACATCTATTACGCTGTTAACATCTTTTTTGTCGTACAAATCTGAATTTGGCAATATATGTGATTAATATTCAGTTGGCCTAACTTGAAAGATGTAGGTGGAAAAATAAATTGTGTATTTGAAAGTGAGTGGTGGTTAATTCTTACGGAAGACAATTTTTTTAACAGCGCAAAACAGAGAATCCCAACATTTGATGATTTGTAACAAATGAAAGCCTAACAATAACCTGTCCTCAGGTTATTGGTCAGGTCCTCGAGCCCTCCTCTTTGTATGCGACGACGGGCTGAAGCATTTACGGTTGCGATTCGAACAGAGGTCGTCAGGAAAGCACTGTTCGAGCGTCATCAGTTGTGTGTCGTGTGTCAGCTTGTCCTCCAAACAAAGACCCAAAAGTGATTCCATGCACCCACCAAACCCCCCTGTTTATGACTGAAAAACGGTTTACACACGACTCACAACTGGTGACGTTCGAATACTTCCAGAACAAGCGAATCACTGACGATTTTTTTTTCGAACCACAACGCTGTAAATGCGTTGTGGTTCGAAGCGACATACCGTTTGACTAGTAAGCTGGTTGGGAGACCACATGGACAGCCTCTCCGTCAGCTAGGAGAGTGGGGCATCGATATCCTAACGGGAGGTCATGCACTATCCCGTCATACTGAAAAATTCTTTTCTGCAATCATGTAAATTCTCATGAGAGAGGGCAAAGACAAACTAAGAGCCGGATTACGAGGACCAAAGGAGCTCGAACAGCGACCCTGCAAGAAGCGTAGCCTTCACTGCACCAGTCCCAGTGTATGAATAAACATTATATAGGAACCGCTCGCCTTGTCACAAAAGTATTTACACAAATACTTGTGTAAATACATTTCCTTTAAAAAATATTTACTTTCAACAATATGTTTATGTTGTGCGTGACAGAAGTAAAAGCTTTAGGCAACAATGTGTACTAAGATTAAACAACTGCAGGCGATGTACTGGTAGCCCATCCTCCTAAAATTATAGTACTTATAGCAACTATTTGGTCGAACGTGCAATAATGAACTGTTGCAGCCAACATTGTTTTATATTCTTAATTTTGTAGAGTGTATGAAAAAGATATAAAAACCAAACTTCAACATTCATGGTCCTAATATAGCACATATGTACTATATTAGGCTTCAGTTCATATTAGACTTAGGACTGCTTTGACAGGTTAGGTTCTAGTTACATTTCCAATTATTAAATAATTCATGTGGACTAACTCATTAATACAAAACATGAACTTTCTTGGTCCAACAGTATAATTTTCGTAGGATGGGCTGTATAATGGATCTCACGTCCCGTTAATTATTGAGGACCCGTGGGTGGCCACGGAGGAAATAGCCATCACGCTAACGAACCTCAGGCTTGCATTCATTGCACATCAATATTTCCTCCTCTCACTTCTGTTATTTTGTATTGCTTTAAGAGGCTTGCGGCTACATAATACGATGAACATACGGCCGTACTGGCCAACGTAAACGATGGTGACTAACTTAGTGTGCTCCTTCGTATTTATGCATCTTATTTTTCATACCATCAGCATCAATACAAATAACAAAAGTTAGGTCTATCTTTTTAAGATATATTTTGCGACTAGGAGATCTTTTTGTACTCTAGTCTTCCATGATCAAGGTTTTTAATAAATCTACTATGCTATGATACAAAGAAAAAAAAATTAAGAATTTGTCAGAGCATCTACAGAAATGTGCTGTAGGCTACGTATCCTAAAGCACGAGGCACACGTACACTAATGGTAACTTGGGCCAGCAAGTTACGACGCGAGCCATACAACAACCAGAGATGGATATCGTTTGTACATTCGAGTTGGACGAGCCTAACCGTTGATAAACTGGCTCCTTTTCGAGGTTGCGTCTACACTGTCTTGTAACTTCACCAAATGCAAACCGTCATCTGAACTGTTCACGTACTTCCCTTTCACTATTTAATGGAATGTGAAAAAATCGAAGAATTCGGACGTAACTCTGTCAATGGTATTCAATAAATGTACTCATTGTACTTGACTAAAATTTCTGGTAGTACATCATTTTGAATCAAGTCTCCAAAGTTTGCTTATTATATGTAATATATGCACATGACTGCAAAAGTTGCCGCCCAGTTGAATGGGTGAGAACGGAATTAGTATCAGCTGACGCAGTTGTGAATTGTTTTGTATAGTGCCGAGGGCCACTTCTTTTAACCGCTTGTGATATAAGAAGACTTATTAAATATGGACTAATATATAATTAAATATATTAAAAATTGTATAATTAGCTTTACAATATTCTTTCTTGGCTAATTGAACGCTGGAGTTGAGCTCCGGAGCTCATTATGTGCCTCTGTACCCTTTGCACCACCGCCCCCACCAGGTTATATGTCCGGCCCACCACCGCCCTCCAGACGATAGATTCGGCCCACCACCGCTCCCCAGGTGATAGGTCCGGCCCTCCACCGGCCCCCCAGGTGATAGGTCCGGCCCACCACCGCCCCCAATGTGATAGGTCCGGCCTGCATAATTATTGACTAAATTAAATTGTCTCTCATGTAATACAGTATGCTCCGTCTCGCCTGCTGCCTCTTGCTCCGTCTCGCCTGCTGGCTCTTGCTCCGTCTCGCCTGCTGCCTCTTGCTCCGTCTCGCCTGCTGCCTCTTGCTCCGTCTCGCCTGCTGCCTCTTGCTCCGTCTCGCCTGCTGCCTCTTGCTCCGTCTCGCCTGCTGCCTCTTGCTCCGTCTCGCCTGCTGCCTCTTGCTCCGTCTCGCCTGCTGGCTCTTGCTCCGTTTCTCTTGCCTTGTTTTCCCATTATCGCAGACAGGAGGGCTGGTAGGTTTAAGAAGATGTCCCTCCCCAATAGTGAGGCCAACTATGCTGACCTTCCTCATTACAGTATACAACCCACAACAGTTGCCTAACTCCCGGGTACCTATTTACTGCTAGGCGAGTAGTCTTCTGTCACTTGTTGCGTCTCGCCTGCTGCTACTTGTTGCGTCACACCGTTGTTACTTGTTGCATCTTGCCTGCTGCTACTTGTTGCGCTGCGTCATACGTATTATCATGCAATTGTTTATTTTGTGCGAGAGCGTTGGTACCTCGAACAGCCTCCCACACAGTCCACTCCGTGTAGGCCTATCTCCTCGCCTGCCACGCTACAAGACATGCAAGGGACAACCTGTGTATTCAAGATCGTTTTATTCTCATATATAATAATTTTAATTTATATATATATGAGAATTTAGTGTATAATTAGGCCTAAAGTAGGTATTTAGGTTCTATTAATAATTATTTGTGGTTTAATTCAACCTGTCCTCAGGCTAGGCTCGTCCAGACGCCTACTGAAGCCAAAGACGTATACGTCAATTTTAACGTACTGCGTATTTAAAATTTATATTTTCTGAAATGTATGGTAATATTATATACTGGAATATGCTGAATACTGAGGCCTAACTTTTGTTAGGCTCTGTTAGCCATTAGTGTATTTGTTGTACGTGGATGAAGAATTTATAGAGGTGCGGTTGGAGCAGAGGACATGACGGTAGCACTGCTCCAGAAACAAATATTTACATCAGTTGTGAGTAGTGTGTAGGTTTTGCCATTCATAAATAAGGTGTTTGGTGGCTGGATTAACGAGCATTTTGCTAAAATATTACCTTGTAATTGAGAAAAACCTAACTTCGAATATACAGCAAGTTAAAATTGACGAATGTTCCTTTGGGTTCTGTCGCGGCCTGGATAAGCCTGAGGACAGGTAGGAGTCGTGTGTAAAATGTTTTTAATGTGTAAACAGAGGGTTCAGTGGACTGGAGGTGGGGATACAATTAAATTCCGAGACGATACGAGTTATCAAGACCTCCCTCCCCCCCCCCAACCAGCAGGAAGCACCAGGAGTCATATCTACGCCGTTGGTGGCTTGGGTTCCAATGGCTATAGGCCAAATATTAGCATTCCTTGTTAAAGTTTAGGTCTTGGGTAAGTTTGGTGTGACTGAAAACCTAGCACTGTCAGGTTGTCTAGGTCACCATAGTAATTTGCTGATCAACCTGCAAGTATACTTTAGTTCTGAATAAAATTCAAAACTGAAGTAAACTCCCTGTGTATATACAACAAGCACGGTACGCCTGTGTATACTGTTTACCATTGTTGTGGGCAGGAAGCCTGTTGAGCTTATCGAAATCACCCCGACAAATCCAACGCCGGACCTTGTCTAAGATGCAACCCACAAGAGTTGCCTCGTGGTGCAGCTGTCCACGATACACCAAGATACAACCCACAAGAGTTGCCTCGTGGTGCAGCTGTCCACGCTACACCAAGATACAACCCACAAGAGTTGCCTCGTGGTGCAGCTGTCCACGCTACACCAAGATACAACCCACAAGAGTTGCCTCGTGGTGCAGCTGTCCACGCTACACCAAGATACAACCCACAAGAGTTGCCTCGTGGTGCAGCTGTCCACGTTACACGAAGAGATACAAAAAACGTGTGAGTGACTTACACTGCGGGTCGGGTGAGGACTTGTTGCTTGCGTGTGGCGTGAGTAGTAAGGCTCTCGCGAGCACCGTTGTCACACCAGGGGCAAGTGTGGGCTGCAACTGGCGAAGTCTTCCAACAAGGGTCTTGCACTAGACCTCTTCTCCCCCCCCCCCAACAACCCTCCTCTTCTATACACCACAGTTCTCCACACTGTTCCAGGGCTACGAGTCGACACATCCCTGTTGCGTCATCGATCTCGCTGGGCGGAGGCCAATCATAGGGGACGCATCCGGACAGGGGTCGCCCACAGCCAATAACATGACGGTATAGCACGGTGATGTAATAACTTTGGCCACGCCCACTAGACGCGTTCTCCAGTCAGAGGTAAATACTGGAGTGACGTCATATGATCGTGGGTTGTTGCAGCCAATCCGAGGATATGAAGCCTCTACGAAACTTGGTCATTCACATACATTACCGGCAGTGGTGTTATGGAACACTGAACATGATACAAAGTACACAAGTAACGAGTCCAGCGAGGACTGGTCCAGGAAAACGTATACCATGAGCAACCTACAAAATGTCCTGCAACTGTCTACAAATTAAAAACAAAAGCTTAGGAAAAAGTCCATACATATTCCTCATTGTTCAAATAGCCTGACGAGCAGAATTTTCCCAACCTTAAATTTTTCACAACTGTTTTCTTATGAATTGATAAGGTTACATTATACAAGATTTGGATTTCGTTAATCTGAGTTAAAACTAATATAAAAATATGATCAACCTTAACCTAATCTATTCTATTCTAACTTAACCTATCCTAGCCTAACATAACTAAGTAAGTAATACATGCTATTAATATACTATAATAATATTAATTGTAATAAACCAGTTTGCAAAGAAATATTTGAAAATAACTGTTAGGTAAATCAGGCCTTGCTTACTAGGCCAAGTAGTGCGGTTCTTGCTATTAGGCACGACATTATATATACAATTGCTGGCAGTGAGTAATGAATTAATGGCCTCGTTAGCCATACATTAATGGCCTGAGCCATACATTAGTGGCTTCCTGAGCCATACATTAGTGGCTTCCTGAGCCATACATTAGTGGCTTCCTGAGCCATACATTAGTGGCTTCATGAGCCATACATTAGTGGCCTCCTGAGCCATACATTAGTGGCTTCCTGAGCCATACATTAGTGGCTTCCTGAGCCATACATTAGTGGCTTCCTGAGCCATACATTAGTGGCTTCCTGAGCCATACATTAGTGGCCCCTCTGAGCCATACATTAGTGGCCCCTCTGAGCCATACATTAGTGGCCCCTCTGAGCCATACATTAGTGGCCCCTCTGAGCCATACATTAGTGGCCCCTCTGAGCCATACATTAGTGGCCCCTCTGAGCCATACATTAGTGGCCTCCTGAGCCATACATTAGTGGCCTCCTGAGCCATACATTAGTGGCCTACTGAGCCATACATTAGTGGCCTACTGAGCCATACATTAGTGGCCTACTGAGCCATACATTAGTGGCCTACTGAGCCATACATTAGTGGCCTCCTGAGCCATACATTAGTGGCCTACTGAGCCATACATTAGTGGCCTACTGAGCCATACATTAGTGGCCTACTGAGCCATACATTAGTGGCCTACTGAGCCATACATTAGTGGCCTACTGAGCCATACATTAGTGGCCTACTGAGCCATACATTAGTGGCCTACTGAGCCATACATTAGTGGCCCTCTGAGCCATACATTAGTGGCCTCGTGAGCCATACATTAGTGGCCTACTGAGCCATACATTAGTGGCCTACTGAGCCATACATTAGTGGCCTACTGAGCCATACATTAGTGGCCTACTGAGCCATACATTAGTGGCCTACTGAGCCATATATTATTATACATTAATGAGGTGAAAGGTAGGCGTGGGGGAGGAGGAGGTGCTAAATAATAATGGGGTGAACAGTGGGAGGGTGTGTCATATGTGGGGACGGGTAAAGGGGGGGGGGAGCTGTGCAAATTTAAAAACAATAGATTTTACATGTGTCGTCACTGTGAGTGCAATTTAGTATGTATAAAAGCGCAGGACAAATAAGGTTGAGGTATTCAGTCCTCCTCCTGTGTGTGCGCGTGTCAGACACTTTCATTGTCAACACTCCTTGGAATTTCCAGTAATATACAACATAAATATTACTTGTATGAGATTAATGAATAGAAAAGTCCTCAGCCAGCATGTTATAACAAACTTGTTTGTCGTCCTGCTCTTGTTAGGTGAGATATTCCTCGATGAATAACATATATTATTCGAGGCGAGAGATGTGCTAAAAGTATAATTTGAGATGTAAAGTGAGCTTTGAGTATACTTCGACGCTCCCGCAAGAGCTTTGTCTTGGGCCGGTGGGGGCTCTTTTTGGGCCGGTGGGGGCTCCCTTGGGCCGGTGGGGGCTCCCTTGGGCCGGTGGGGTCTCCATTGGGCCGGTGGGGTCTCCATTGGGCCGGTGGGGGCTCCATTGGGCCGGTGGGGGCTCCATTGGGCCGGTGGGGGCTCCCTTGGGCCGGTGGGGGCTCCCTTGGGCCGGTGGGGGCTCCCTTGGGCCGGTGGGGGCTCCCTTGGGCCGGTGGGGGCTCCCTTGGGCCGGTGGGGGCTCCCTTGGGCCGGTGGGGGCTCCCTTGGGACGGTGGGGGCTCCATTGGGCCAGTGGGGGCTCCGTTGGGCCGGTGGGAGCTCCGTTGGGCCGGTGGGGGCTCCCTTGGGCCGGTGGGGGCTCCCTTGGGCCGGTGGGGGCTCCCTTGGGCCGGTGGGGGTTCCCTTGGGCCGGTGGGGGCTCCATTGGGCCGGTGAGGGCTCCATTAGGCCGGTGGGGGCTCCCTTGGGCCAGTGGGGGCTCTCTTGGGCCAGTGGGGGCTCCATTGGGCCAGTGGGGGCTCCAATGAGCCGGTGGGGGCTCCATTGGACCGGTGGGGGCTTGCCTCAGGCTTCCCTCTGGACAGTCTTCCGCTCACACCACTTTCCTTGGCTGTGCTTTCCCTAGTAAGGCCTTCATGTGCACAAAGTAATCACGTTAACGTGATGTATCAATGAGAGAACCAGTAGGAGCCATGAGGAGGTTTCTAACCTGCACACTGGGTACTCCCAAGCACACACCTTAAGCCACTCAGCTGGAATATGGTACAAAAGTAATGTAACCAGAGATTCAAGTGAATCCTCTAGGGGTATCGACACCCAGTGACCTCAAAAGATAAGTCATCAGGCATCCTGTAACTTGGGTAGTTCAACAAGGTCGTGACCTACGACATAATCTCGAGGAACCCTCGGCTGGTCCCAGTGACCTCTGGCGGAGTAAGAGTCTGTAGCAACCTACAAGGTTCATAGATATTACTACATCACCAAGATTAACATCATTGTCAGCACATGTGGTCCACAACCAGTCGTTGCTCTTCGGCCAATCAGCCTCGGCCTAGATGGTGTCACAATTAAGCACATATAGTGACTATATCTGTTATAGCTTAGGCCTCCAACCTGAAGGTTCGTTCACAGAAAACTGTTATTTTTCCATTAGAGAAAACTATTCGGCTATAATTTTGATGGTTCTCCTAAATAATATTTTCATGGGTAATGTTATTATTATTACAAAGAGCAGCTAGGTCTCGCTATACATAACAGTGATACTAGCATACGACAGACTGCTTCAAGAGATCACTTCATTGAGCTCACTACACTGAGTTATTTTTTAGAGCGCGCATAAATACACTTAAATAAATTTAAGTACTTACACTCTCATATACGTGGTCTCCGGTGGTCTCGCACTTATAGTAGACTTTTAGCGTCGCGTCGTGGTTGACCAGAGGCTTCCGAGATATTCAACGAGGCTCACAAGGCCACATGTTAAGTGTTCTAGAGTTAAGGACCGGGTCAAGCGTTTCATACCTGCATGGTTTCCAGCTAACTAGGTATCTTGTGAGGCCATACAGGAACATAATACAATGTGTAACGTTATAATTATTAGAATTACCGTGTTAACAGACCTACCACATGATTCGGCTTCTAGCTTATAGAACGTTGGCCTACATGATCCAGTCTTCCGATCACTTCACTGATAGTTTTTTTTTCACTTGATGAAACATAAGAAACCTGCGAGGCGTAGTGTGGTACGAACAGCCAGCCTGGTTCACGGTGACTGACGACCAGCTGGTAGGGAAGCCCTTAGTGACAGGCGTCGTAACTTGACCTAGTTCCAGTTTGTTTCTTTAATTTAATTTGTAAATGCTTTCCCAGATACAACAGAACAGATTTAGGTATGAGCAGGTGAATATATGGCACATGCTAGAGGGGCGTGCATCTGGAGCTCATGCTTAACAACACATTCTCATTATTAATGTCCATAACCATACTACTATGGTTGTAGGCCCTAATTGTCATAACTGTGGATGCACAAGACCCACAGTTATGTGGGTCTTGTCAGTTATTACACAGACCCTCGGTGTAACACTGTCTTACACAGGTGTCATGAGACATGTCACTGTGTGTTACACAGAGGTGTCATGAGACATGTCACTGTGTGTTACACAAGTCTTAGCCTCGGGGTTTTGCTATCACAGTCCAAATGTAAGCAATGGGATCTCACAAAATGTATATCAGGATATTATGACGGCAATCATATCCTTTTATTTTTTGTATTAGAATATGATATTAATGGAAATACATATTACAGCCAAGATGAAATATGAATCAATACTATGTTCAAGCTATCAAGCTCCGTGGCACCCGGAGGATTGCAATAATTCCAGCTTGGTTTGTAACATGATCTTTCTAGTAGTGCATTGTATTTCGACGTATACATCCCCTAAGGCCAAAACCTGATGTACTCAAAATCACAGCACCTCGCAAAATTGACGTGATGTCCCGTTTTCTATTCGATCGTGGGTCCTCGGTTAGGGTAGGGTTCGGGCACTTTCGTACATAGTTAGGAGACGGTTTAACCGCTCGAGAAGACGGGCTGATGTTTGTCCATGATTTGTTTTTTTGTGGGAAAATAGAATTACTCTCGAAAATATGTAGACTCTGACCATTCTTCGGGAAGCGACCCACAACAGTTGATTAACATGCAAGTACTGTACCTATTTACTGCCACGTAAATTGAGGCAGTGTGTAGGGAGACGCGCCAACTGTCCGGCCCTGCCCGGGATGCGAACCCTGTATGTGCCTGCCGGGTGTGAGCTGTCAGCACTGACCATTGCACTGCAGGTTATGTAACATATATGAACAAAAGCCGCTGAGTGCAGCATGGAATATCAGTCATGATAAATCCTTTTCAGCAAAAAATAACATTATAAATCTTTATATGCAGTATGTAAATAAATCCAAACAAATGTATAGAACACACTACACACACTACAGGTTCGAACCCTCGTCACGTCCTTGTGGATTTGTTCAAATATATAGAACATTACTATAAAAAGCATTGACATGTTGCTTCAAGGATGGCTTCAAACCATGTTCATTTTCAATATTTTTTATTATTATTAACACATTTAGGTACATCTGCATTTGTGCAGCTACCCTAGACTATATGAAGGGGAGTACAGTGTCACAAAACTAGCTACGTGATGCTAAAAAAATCACACAGGATGGTTAGTCATACAGAGGCATGTGACCAGTAGTATTGCATTATGAGGATATTATGAACACAAGAGTAAATAAGGTAGCAGTGATACTAAAAGTCCCCATTTCGCAGGATGTTTAGTCATACAGGGCCATACGTTCAGCAACCTCCACTGGAAAATTTTGGGTGCAATATGAGGATATCCTCAATAATACGAGAGTGAATAAAGTAATTGCAAAGCTCCAGGTACCTCATGCCAACGGGTCTGAAAGGTCTAATAACTGGGCATTCGGTGATGTAGTGCGGGAGATCATGCCGCAGTTCCTGCTCACAAGAGTTTGCACCTGGAATACTCAGGACTGGAAGATCCGTCACCTGTAGCCACCTGCCCCAGGTAACGGTAACCCATCCTGATCCTGGCAACCATTGTGTCGCACAGTCTGGTCCACGTTTTGTGCTGCCCATAAACATAGGCTTCAGATCTGAACAAATCATAGCTTTTTACACTGGTGCTTTCAGGTCATTAGGAGTTAGTAATTTCTCTCCTATTAGACCTGAGTGTTTGGTATAATATAGTTGTGACGTTTTCAATGAATACCTCAACCCATTGCAGTTTTCCTGCCCAAATTGATGCTATATTTAACCACCCGGGCAAATCTGAGCAAACGACACTGATGTCACATTTAATCAATGTCCATATCGTTGATCCTACGCTGATATAACGTTATGCAAATATATTTTGTTTGATATGATATACGCACAATCACAAGATTCAAACTCATGATCTTTTTGTTTTTTTTCATTGATATGTTGATGATCCTCATTTTTTCTAGTGCAATGGATCATCAACCTTAATTATTTTAAATATCGTATTCAAATGCAAAGACATCATCTCGGGTAAATAAATTAAAGCCTTATTTATTTAGCAATAAAAATATAATTGTCTAGTTTGGATGCCACGATGAAGCCAAACTCAGTTGCCCATTGTAATGAAGACAGTAAATATATTTGCTAACGTTGAGGTGCTTATCTTCCTCTCATATTTGGAATGGAATTGTTCAGAGAAATGTGAGAACTCTGGTACTGGCCCCGTCGAGGCTATGTTGGTAGCATCGAGAGAACTCAGGTGCAGGCCGGGCGAGGCTACTGTTGATGCGAAATGTAATGAGAATCACAAAATTAGAAAATGTTCTCATATACACAAAGAGAGAGAGGGAACAGGACCTCATCCTACTGGAGGATTTATATAACAGAGAAGCCATGATGACATTCAAGACAGTATGGAAAAATTACAAAGTCGATAACTTTATATGGATAGTGAGAAACAGCATTGCAGAGGGATACAAAATCTGACGAGGATCGAGTCAGAGTTGTTAGAGCATTTGAGTTGAAAATAAAAAGATTGGTTTAGATGAAGATAACACAATATACGGCTTAAAATGTAAATTTGATAACATATAAAAACAAGGATAATTTCATTAAACTAATAATAGTTGAAGAGGCGGTGATCAAGAAGCTGACACTCGAACCTAAAAGTACATTTAGGTGAGTACTTGAATCGGTTAGGCCTATTTGATTAGGGACTATCAGCTGCACCTGTGTACACGTCAACAGTGTAATTGTCCCTGTGTACACGGCAACAGTGTACATGTCAACACGATAAATTAATTTACATAAAATTTTGTAAAAAAAAAGAATGGTATGCATACATGTTGAATGAGAGATGTTGAGTGTCACTGAAGCGCAGGTGTGCAGACCCTGGCCTCAGCACATCTGTCGAAGCAACACTTGTGTTTGTCAGGGCAGGCCCGGTCATCGGCGCAGTAGTGGTGGTCCTTATGTTTGTATATGTTCCCGAGCCATTTTATACACACTTCCTTCGGCTCCGGACAGCTGCCCTCGCGTGCTGTGGGCCAACTTTTGTTCAGTATTACTAAGGTATTAAAGTCTGCAGAGTTAATACTGACCTGGAGCCAGATTCACGAAGCAGTTGCGCAAGTACTTACGAACGTGTACATCTTTCCTCAATCTTTGACGGTTTTGGTTACATTTATTAAACAGTTTACAAGCATGAAAACTTCCCAATCAACTGCTGTTGTTGTTATAAACAGCCTCCTGGTGCTTCGGAGCTCATTAACTGTTTAATAATTGTAAATAAGGCCGCCAAAGATTGAGAAAAGATGTACAGGTTCGTAAGTACTTGCGTAACTGCTTCGTGAATCTGGCTCCTTGACCAGAGTCTGCAGCAGTGTCATAGTGAGTATGACGCCCTGCTTTTATTTTTTTGTAGATTATATTCAGTTACTTGTATATCTTTCAAAATGTATCAATTTCAAAATTGTCCTATAAAGCATCAAAGAAAACCCTTTGGATTGAAGGGAAACCATAAACAAACAGCTGATTTCCTGCCCCTTCGAGGGCCACTATTTAAAAAGAGAGAGAGTTGGCATACAGACAGAGGGAGAGAGACGGAGAAAGAAACAGATGTGGCAATAAGGATATGTACTATCACTAATACTAAGGGCAAGCATGACACTGACTCTCCTTATTCGGGCAGCAGCGCAGGGAGCCGTTATCCCGCTTACACCAGTAGGGACAAGTCTCCATGTCGTCCCAGTTGTCAGCAAACACCTTCACCGCAATCTCCTTATCCACGATGTTCGCACTAGTCGCGCTGGAGGTAACATTCGTCGAAGACTTGTCCTTATTTCTGGGGTGAACATTGAACATAAATAATATAATGTTGTCGCGCGTACTTCTGAAAATTAAATGTGTACATCTTACTTAACTAGTCAATAACATATGCGGTTAGAAAGGCAAAATCACGCTTCGTTGCAGAGTGACTACAATATTTGTAATCTTAATTGTCGCTATCCACACCTAGTTGTCGTGCTTGCAGGAGTTGAGCTCCGGCTCTTTGTGCCCGCCTCTCAACTGTCAATCAACTAATGTTTTTCTTTTTTCTCTTTTTTTCACACACACACACACACACACACACACACACACACACACACACACAGGAAG